TATGAAAACCCCATAGGGTCTATGAAAACCCATGAGCAAGGTCCACACGCTTGGGGTGTGATTGGAGGCTGTGATGGACTCTACTCCAGTAGCTTCCTTCTCACCAGTGAAAAGGGGATCCTGTTGCTACTCCTGCCTTTTGGGTTATAGAGTGAAAGCCATAAAGGCCCGCACCCTGCCTGGCACTTAGACTTCACTGGGAGGGCCCTGCAGAGCCTTCGGGCAGCCTTGCTTATTCCAGATGCTCCCTCCTAGGATAACATCTGCCAGGCTGACAGGTATTCTTGTCTCATCTCTTTAGTGTCTTGTCCGGAGTCTTCTGAGTGAGACATCTGCTCATCCAACTTTGATTGCTGGGTTTCTTTCCCTCCCCTCTGGCCAGGCCCCATGTCTTGTTTTTCATTACTCTCCAGAGGCCTCTAGGATGCCAGGTCTCTCCCTTCCCCAACCTCCTGCTAGGCAGGACTTCCCTGTCACCTCCAAAATTGGCTCTTCCAAGAATCTAGTATAAATGAGACACTCTAATCTCACACCCTAAAGGGCGCCCACTGCAGTTCAGAATCTCAGGCTTGGTAAGATCCTCAAAGGGAAACTAATGACCCTCACCTCTCTCTGCTTATGGGGTTGGTGGCTGTCATCTTTGTCCCTTGGGAGTTCAGCTCTTATTCACCCCTTGAGGGCAGCCTCATGCACATGTGAGCTGCACTGATTAAGAATGTGCTGTGTCATGTCCACCTGGATTGGCTCTGCCTGGTTCCCATCTGTGGCCACTTGGTTCACTCCTTTCTCCACTCCTTATAGAATGTGGTTTCTGTTGTCGCCTTCTTCTTGGTCGTCATCTGTGGACATGGTTTGCTTGGTTTTTGTTTCCTTTCTCACTGTGGACACCAGATCCTAGTCAGCCATACTCTGCCCATGCCCTCACCACCCCAGCCATACATGGTCCACACTGTTGTAAGGCTTTGCAAAGGTCACAGGCGCTGAGCCCACTCCTTATCCTGTGTTTTCCATCTGAGGAAGCTGAGTACACCACTTGAACATCCCCCAGCCCCTTGTGCCTGTCGTGCAGAGGTCCAGGCCCGTCCCTCTGCGTGTTTTGTTTGGTGAGTGTCCATTAAGCCAGGGCCCCTCCCTTAGCCAGCCAGGGTGCCCTCCACCACTTGGGCTCTAGGCCTGAATATTTGGTCTTTTTTCTGGCTCCCACACTCACCTCAGCTGATAATGGTGGGGAAGATGTCCCCTCTGACACTATTTTATCCAGACACTATTTTATGCAAACAGAGAAGAAATTGAGAAGCAGAAAGCAAAAGAGCGCTACATGAAAATGCATTTAGCTGGGAAGACAGAGCAAGCCAAGGCTGACCTTGCCCGGCTCGCCATCATCCGAAAACAGCGGGAGGAGGCCGCCAGGAAGAAAGAAGAAGAGAGGAAAGGTAAGTCCTGAGTCACTGGAGCATTGCCCGATTCTGGTTCTGGGCACCAAATCCTGCACTTCACTGTCCTTGTTGTGAAATGGAATGGGGTCAGATTGTTTGGTAGAGGTCCACCCTGTGTGCACCTTCCTCACTGTCAGGTGGAAGTGGGAGTTCCTACCCCCTCCCCTCAGGGTGCTTGGAGCGTTCTGCAGCAGCACCGGGTCGAATATGAGCTTCAGCAGAGCACTGTGGCACCTGAGGGAGGCTTCAGGGATGTACCAAGTGCAGATCTTCCAGTCTAGAAGGTCCCACCTAGGTCTGGTGACTTGTGTGGCTGGGAGAGCTGTTTGGGGTAACCACTGTCTGTGTGAGGGGCTTGGGAAGGTGGAGCAGAGTGGGCTGGATTTCATGGTCCAGGGTCAGATGAAATCTGGCCCAAGTGTCCTTCCCCCAGTGGGGCCAAAGGTGGTAGAGGGTTCCTGTAGGCCAGGTTGGCTGTGGGAGTTGGTCTGGCTTATAGGAGTGTTTGACTCATGTTTTTCTGTCTCCTGTTCTTTTGCACTCTCCACATGTGGGACCATGAGAGAGCCCTTAGGGATCCTGCTATTTTGCCTCACCAAATTGCAAGAAAACTGAGGCCTAGAAATGGGAAACCAGTTTCCCATGGGCATTGTTACCACACTGGAGATACCTGGTTATCCCAGCTCCCTGCTGGCAGCTCTTGCTCCACAAACCCAAGCAGGAAAGGACTTCCTGTGTAACTATTTGAACATTGTGGCTGATTTTAGAGAATTCAGAACCCACTGGGAGAAAATGGAATTACTGGATTCTGCTGGGGTCGAGGGTGTTAAGAATTTCTATTTGTGTCATAGATTGTGTTGGTGGGCCATTAGAGTAGGCCCCAAACTCAGTGAGAATGTCTGGACACCTGCATTCAGTGTCTTCAGCAGAAATCCTCTCCTGGAGGGCATCAGGCAGGCCTTCTCCAGTGTCTTCATCTGCCTAGTGAGCCAGTTGCACAATTGTTTTCTGAGGTCTTTCAGACTTAACAATTCTGTGGTTCTAGGAGTGGGGATGGATATGTGGAGGGGTTGTTTTTAACTGTATCCTTTCCTTCCTTTTCCATTTTCAGCAAAAGATGACGCAACTTTGTCAGGAAAACGAATGCAGTCGCTCTCCCTGAATAAGTAGCGTGGTCTGAGGGAGGAGATACCAGGGAACTGGGCCATGCAGCCAGGACTGCTGCTGTCTCGCCCACCCTGTGCCCTGTCACCGCTGCAGCAGCCCCTCAAGACAAGGAGTCCCCCACAGGCTGGGGCCTCTTCTTCATCTTGGAACAGAAATTGTTTGGGGGATAGTGAGTGGGTGGGGGGCT